AAACCAGGCGTTCCTTTTCCAGCAGATAGCTGAGCGAGACCATCAGAAGCGAGTGGCGGAGGAGACGCACGGTTCTCTTAGTTTTCTGGGGAGAGAGGGAGAGTTCGCGCTTGTTGAGGCAATGCATGTTTACCAGGTCATGTGCAACAAGCTGAATGTCCAAGGGCTCAGACCGTTTTCTTCAGTGTCTGGCCCTGCTTGAAGGAGATGAAGAACCGTCAGAAGGCGGCAGCCCAAGCAGCCGCTGAGGAGTACCGCCAAGCGGAGCGGCGTCGTGCCCAGGCGCTGGGCAGGGACGGACTCTGATGGATGTCATGACACGGAGCCGTGAAGAAACACGAAAGAACCACAAGCAAACCAACCAACCAGCGAAAGAACGAGCGAGCCGGCCGCTTCATTTGGAGAGTCAAACTGCGCCTTTTCGTTTTCAATGAGCCCAGTACCCCAGAGTGCATTTTCCGCGTCACAAGGGCCTTAGTCTTAGTTCCACGTTTGCCTCCATCGCAAGGACCAGAAAGCCCGCAATCTGCAAAACCGCCTGGAGCTCGAGGGCCAGATGCGCTCAAAGCAGCTTGACTAAAAGTTGAGCGCTGGGCTTTTGAAGGGATTTGATCTTGCAACATGTAGGGATGACAGGGATGACTGTTCGGACGCATCTGGCAAAGTATGGCAAAGGAAGATGATGCAGACCCTGCGGGAGGACGAGATGAGCGGAGCCGAGAAGGCGATCAACCGCCGGTATGTCATGGACAGCATCCATAAGATTGATGAAGGCTTAAGCCCTCGCGAGTGAGGGGGCGCGGAAGCAGAGTGTGTGATGGGGCATGCCAGGCACCACTAAGAATTCCAGGTTGCATCTCCTGATGCAACAGAAGCAGTGGCGGCAAATAGGGCGTATGCCTGCCCCAGCACCAAAGAAGCCAGTCAGGAAATCCGAGGACAGAGCACTCGGCTTTTCAGTGCGCGCTGGCGCTAGCCTAGGATCCCTGACGTTTAAGCCTCAGGGTGTTCCAAACTCTGGCTTGCAACTTGAGCGCCGAAATTCAGGCGCTCAAAAATGCGAAGTCACTGAAATGGTTCATTACTTGGAGGGACCTGTGCAGAAGGCCAGTCAGCGTTGGCAAGGCAAATTCGATCTACAGATTGATATTATTATTTGTGTTTCCTGCGGGCCCTCTACCACACAGCTGGAAGTTCTTGACATCAGCACCGGGCGCTTTACATTAAAGCATTCAGGCAATACCATGAGCGGGTCGGCGCTGCACGCATCCTCACAAGAAACTCATAAAACATCAAGGCAGTGCAAGGCCGTCTGACAGCCCCCCAGGTTCATTCGTCACGACATTGAGCTGCCACCAGAACTGCCAGTGCGGCACCGGGGTGGCAGCAAGGAGGAGGTTCGGGCTGCAAACCAGCCCACTGAATATGCCCTGTAGCTGTGCAGTATCCAGAGATGGTAATGTTAGGGGAGAAAATGTCGTGGATTTTAATCAGGGACAATCAGGATCTCAAGCTTGGACGTGGCTTGCGAGTCGCGTGGTTCCCAGAGGCTTGTTACGAACAAAACGCAGGCAAATTGGCAGGCCCCCCTTTGACACGAGACCCAAGACTGCCCCCTGGCAATGCTCTCTGACTTCCTGTCAATAGCGGGCTCGGAACGTTGCTGACAGGCCAGCTTGCCCTCGAAGGAGGAGGCGGTCACGCCATGAGCACTGCTGGTCGCGATGGTGCGATATGGAACTCGAACTGCATTGAGCTTCAAGTTGTGCTTGTCTCTTGTTCTTTCTTTCGTTTTCGTGATGCAGGGCCCTTCACCAGTCGAGGTTTTCGGCCCACATGGTGCCGCTGTACTATTGAGATGAGTCCCTGCTGCCAGCCCAAGTTCCGTGACAGACCCCGTGGGTTTTGCTTCTTGTTGGTGCTCCTTAGGCAGCAACGAACTTTCCAACTTGGTCAAGTCCGGAAGTGGGAAGGCAAGCGCTGTTTCCACACCCGCCCTGCATTGAGGGGCACGAACTCTGGCACCTTTGCCTTACTGTTGCTTGCTATTCACGGTGGTTCAAGGACAGTCCTTTGCGCTTTGTTCTCAGCAAGGCTTCCGCCGCGCGCCCGCGAAAAAGACAGCACGGAGCAAAACTTGTTGAGTGTTCGGATCCCAGGCGCGGGCGTGCCAGGCCTGCCGGGCCTGCCTTGCATAGAGACCCTGGCCCTTGAGCTTAAAAGGCCCTCGGCCAGTGCTTGAGGTTTTGGCGGAAGCTCCGGAAGGCGGTCAGTGTAAGCTGTGCTTCCTGGCTGGCACTGCTAGTTGGGCTTTCAAGAAGCTGGCGCGATCCGCCACCTTGAAGTCGAGTGGCGAACCCGCTACCTTGAAGTCGTGGCTCATGGATCCATGAGCAGCGACTGGTTCACCAATATCACCCAGTGGAGCTCCTTGCAGCTGAGTGGCCGAGCTGGCCATGAGATGGGTGTCTATGCCCCTGACAGCTCGGCGGTTCGTTGTAGCTTTTTTCTGGCCCGGGTGAGAATTCGGCCTTGGGGCTGCCTGCTCCCAGAGCGCCGCCTGACCAGACAGCTGTGCAAGTGTAGCGCGCCACCAAGGAGATTCATAGAGGTGCTAGGTCCAGGTATTAGCAGACACCTTGCGGTGAGGGTCCTTGCAGTTTCTCATAGAGGTTGGCGGATTCAAACAACTACAGCCAAGCGATGCCCAGCAAGAGGAGCTGTCACCATTTCCTGTGCTTATGTGTTGATGCTGCGTCGTTCGCCGGAGGTCGGGGCCAGCCTGCTGCTGAACAGCCTGGCCCTGTGTCAAGATCGCCGGCGCCAAAGGTCAGCGAGTTTTTGCCTTGCAGGCCTTGAAGCGACGCCACGTGCCCGGAGTGCCCAGCCTTCTGAGGCTCGGAGATCCCGGAGGAGGTGGAGGGATTGGCACCGGGCTTGAGGTGAGTGATCCGCAATTGCAGCTCTGCATTTGCTGCACTGCGAGCGCCGCAGCACGTGTGCTTTAGTCAAACAGGAAGACAAAAGGGATAGGCGTTGTCCTGCCCTCATAGATAGGCGTTGTCCTGCCCCCCCAATAGGCCATGCCTGCAGTGCTGAAGGTCACCTACCAGTCCGACATCCGCCGGTGCAGGTTGGATGACCAGGACATTTGCTATGAGGGCTTGTGCAAGATGCTGCCTCAGCTCTTTCCCGACCTTGGGGACAACTACACGGCGAAGTACGTTGATGAGGAGGGTGATGCCTGCGTCCTGTGCGAGCCGTCTTGGAGTGATTTTCTGAGCTTGGCAAAGCGCGGCAGCACCGTGGCAGTTGGCTCTTCAGACCAGAAGCTAATTCTCAAGCTGGAGCTGTTCGACCTGCCTGAGGAGAGGCCGCTGATCGACCAGCCTGAAGAGAGGCTCGAACAGGACCAGGGCTGCCACCTGGGAGTGAAATGTGATGGGTGTGGTGCCTCTCCGATCATGGGCCCTCGCTTCCGGTGCACTGTCTGTCCTGACTTTGACTTTTGCTCCCACTGCTTCCAGAAGAAAGACAAAATCCATGGCGGAGAGTGTGTCGGGCATGACTTTGAGCAGGTTGAACAGCCGTGTTGGAGCCCTCTTTGGACGATGATGCGCATGCTCAAGGGCAAGGGCAAGGGCAAGGGGAAGTGCAAGGGAAAGGGCAAGGGAAAGGGCAAGGGAAAGTGCAAGGGCAAGTTTGAGGCTGAGCAGACAGAAGGCGAGGTTTGCAGCTGGCCTGTTCACCACTTCTGGCCTGAGCACTCCTGGGCACTCCGGCACAGCTACCCCTGGCACCATGACTCCTGGCGCCACGATTCCTGGTTTCGGCACTGTCCTGACTCCTGGTTTCTGACAGGCATGGCTGGCACAGGCGGGACCTGGGAAAACCGAGCTTCAGCAGACGTTCAGGCACCGGATGCCTAAGGGCATGTACAGAAAGAAGCCTGTAGCCAGCACCCTTGAATTCGCAGCTTTCATAGGTGCAATGGCTATTTCATTCTTGGGCGCATACGCACACTGTTGCCCAAATGGAGGAGAAAAAGCAAGCATGGCACCCATGCAAGGTGTAGCTTGGAGGAAGGAAGGGCGCAGGTTTTGCTAATGCGCATTCTTGCACTCGAGTCGCCCGCACTTGCCTAGGCGGAACGAAGCTTGGATGCCGCGCTTGAGGCATGTCAAATATTTGTCCGTACAAATACTAATTATGCCGAAGGTCAAGCACACTAGAACACTTTGGCACCAAACCTTTATAGAACTGCTGACGGTGAAGCACACACCTTTTGGAACACACCAGTTGGGATTCAAGATCAAGACCACTGTTTAATTGGGGCGGCAAGCTTATTTGAGCCCTTGGGTGGACACAGCGACGCGAGGATCCTTAGCATGCCCGACTAATAAGTGCAAATATATATATATATATATATATGTATATATATATATATATTTTGCTTTGGCCCAACCAGTCCCTCACCCATGGGGATGGACGCCGTGTTCACAAGGGCTGACTTACCCTGCTAGATTCTTGATGACTTCCTGCCAGGTTGAGCTTGGTTTGTCCCATTTCTTTGCGCGCTTCGTTTGGTTGCTGAGCCTTTTCAAGTTTGGGTCTTTGCCTTGAATTGTGGGATTCTTTGCAGTGGCTCAATAGCCAGGCCCAGGACTTCATCAACACCGTGTGGGCGACGGCGCGTCTTGCGACCTGCAAGGAGGCGCCTAAGGCGCAGCTGAGCTCAAAGGGGGTTCTGGCCAGTTCATACACGCGGACTTTCTGAGCACAACGAAGCTTGCGGACTTATGGCCCACATGTCGTGCGTGCTAGCATTGCGCTGTTTGGGATGAAGGGTCGGCCGGACCCTGGGCCAGGCCACTGTTTGCCGTTTCACTGCCGCTGGCCCAGACTCACTGCGGGTGTTTCGTGAGGCAAATGGCCCACAGTGTGAAGCTGGAAAATCGCCCGCTTGGCTGAAGAGTCAGTCGGCGGAGTTTGGCTTTGCCGGGGTGGGTTTTCCATGGCTCCGAGGCTGAGCTTGGATGAGCGGAAGAGTTAGCGCCGTAGGAAGTTGCGAATCTGGCACGGAACCCAGCAGACTACAGCCCAGTTCGAGAAGCCACACTTCCATCGGTCTTGGGCCAGCTGTCAGCAAAAGGGCTACGGGGAATTGAGCACAACTTTGAAACAATGCAGGTAAGCTATCCAGATGCGGAGTCTCCATCAACCTTTGCCACTATTTGCCAAGGTGCAGACCTTGGGCAAGGTGTGTCGTAGCTTCGGCGCTGAGCTGCTGCTAGGACGAGAGCACAGCCCCAGCCGCCCGGCGAACAGCTGGGTGGATTCGAGTTGGGGTCTGACAGAAAGCAGCCTGAAGGTCGTTGAGCTCGGAGTTCACTTTCATCTTTATGACTCCGAGCCATGGGCTGAGGCGACCCAGCAAACATCGCGCGGGGCTGTGGCAAGCTAAAGGCCCAGGAGGAAGCTGCAATGGGCGTGGCAGGCCGGCGATGGATCTTTGACATTGGACAAATCGCTCTTACATCCTTGGTGTCTGAGAATGCGCCCTCTCGCAATCAAGCCGCACGGTCTTCCACACATTCAGGTAGCACTTCAGCAAGAGCGAGGGAGCTGAGCGCACAGTAGCTGACAAGCAGGCGTGGCATGTTCCTTTTTTGTTGCCCTGTGGCACATGCCACGAGCAGTATGTTCAATTTTCATTCGGCAAACTTTCAGCGGGGGAGTTGGCGATTTGTATTTTTATGCCTTGGCATGGTCGAATGCACTGCGGTCCTATCACGCATGCCTGGCCACACGCAGATACACGCATATATACATCTATCTATCGATATAGATTTACACACATGCATACATATATAATGCTACGCACCGATGGATCTACCTTGGTGCTTTTTGAAGGCTTGTTTGAAGATGGAATGCAGTTGTTGTTTTTTTGGATTGCCCCATGCGACTTGAAAATAATATGTTTTGTGAATCATATTTCAAACTAGTAACTCTATATTAGTCGTTTTTCACTTTCAATTTATATCTAAGTGCTAGTTGGACAATTGAACAACAATCCTGGACAAGGAAATCCGTTTTAAATCTGATTTGAAGTAATAATTTCTCCCAAAAAATGCCAATTTAAACCCAGGCCTTCTACAAGATTTGTTTTTGTCGATTTACATTCTGATTGTCAAATCTAATTTCAAGGAAAAATGTTAATTGCACATCTTCGTTGACTCGGAACTCCTGGTTGAATTCTCTTCAAACTAGTCAATCTATGTACTCCAATTCTTGAATCCTGTGTAAGTTCTAATTGGAAAATTGAAGAACACAATCCTACAACAGGACTCCCCTTTAAAATCTAGTTTGTCATCTGCATTCAAGTTAAACATCCTGTTTGGAAAGACACACCTATTTGAATTCTCTTTTAAACAAACTGCAACTCTTGAAAGCGCGTCCTGAGAAAAGAAGTCCTCTTTCAAACCTAACTTGAGACAGGTTCTATTGAGTGTGCGTAAACCCGTATCGAATACTTTTTGATTTCCAAGTACAACCCACAAAAGCAAAACCACAATAAGTTAATTGGAAAGAAGGTGTTTTCCAATGCAACTCATAACAAGACATGTTTTTCCAACAGCGAGACACAAGTCCTAAAACCCTGCACCCGAAACCAGTCCTGTTTCTATTCCGAGGTTTGGTCAGCTATCTGGGAGCCCAACGAAGAAAATAAGCAAGCAAAATTCTGGAGCCAATGGCCCAAAAGTAAACCATATAAAGTTAAATTCTGGAGCCGCTGACCCAAAAATAACAAAGTAAAAACAGTCAAAACCCGAAACTTTTGCCAGCCAAGAAAAGCGCTTTGCTGACATATTGTTCTTTTTGTGTCATGTATATATATATATATATATGTTATTTTGCATTTGGTTGGGCCATTGGCTCCATAACTTTACAATAACTTGACATTTGTTGTTTTTTCGAGCCGCACTAGCAAGTTGCATTAGCAAGAAGCACTCGCGAGTCGCTAGCAAGTTGCATTAGCAAGTAGCACGAGCGAGTAGCGCTAGCCAGTTGAACTAGGAAATTGCACTGGCAGGTTACATAAGAGGTCGCTTTAGCAAGCGGCAACAGCAAGTTACACACAGGACTTTACTTAGCCCCCGTCAGGTGACACCCCTCAGGTACACCCCTCAGGCGAGAAACACCTAAACATGTATTTGAGGATATTTGAGGGTTTTAACACATACATGCGGGGGCTCTCCTGGAAGGTTTGAAGCAAAAGCCTGCAATTCAGATTTAGTTGGCAATCTCCGAGAAATCTAGGGTTCCTTACTTCTGCAAGGAAAAGCACTCAGTAAGGATAAGCACTCAGTTGGCTGGAGCTGTTTGTGCCTGCTGGTGCTTTATCAGAACTTGGAACCCAATTGTTGGACATGAACCTCGCAGCCGGGAGATGTGTGGTTTGTGATATTTTGAAAAGTTGCTTATTTGTTGCCACAGTTTATTGCTCCTCTGTTTGTTTTGTATTTTTCTTGGGGTTTTTCAAAGAGCATTTAAGAGCAGTTAAGAGCATGAGCATTTGAGTGCATTCGCGTGTATTCGAGTGCATGTGAGTGAATTAAAACTCCCTTCAGGGAGAAGCCATTCATAGACATTCAATAAAAACTTGAGTCAACGCGGTTCAGCTTCCATAGGGATTGTGCATTGAAGTGCCCATCGGGCACAAATAGTCTTATGATGATGTCCACGTCTGACACAAAAAAGAGGCCCCAGCCAACATGCTTTACTTGAAACCATGAAACCATGCAATTTAGTAAAGTTTGACCGAACACGGGGCGCACATCTTTGCACGCATCAGTGGGACATGCCACAGCTTCCATTGGTCCGTCTTCCTGAGTGGGCTGGGCAATCACACCTAAGAGAAGGTACGAGCAGGGTTGAGCGCCCAGCGCACATGCATCAGGTTATTTGGGCCACAACCACGGCAGCTTCAAACAGGCGTGAGACCGAAAGTAGTTGAAAGCTGTTATACCCTCAATGGCCTCAGACACCACACATTTGGCAAAGAGCATTTAAGAACAGATAAATTTCAAATGGACATAAAAAGCCATAGCAAAACTTAAGAAGCCCAAATAAAAGTTAATAAGCTGAAGATTGGCATATAAGCTGGCTTCACCTGAGGGGTGCCACCTGAGGGGGCCGAGTAGGGTTCTGTGACACTCCCGAGATTTGCACGGGAGGTTTCAGTGCGCTACACTAGATAGATATCTTTGCGCGTGACAGAAAAAACGTGAATCTCGACAATTCCAAATTACTCTTTCAAGGCGGCGGGCCTGCAACAACTTTGCAATTGAAAAGTTGACTTGCGGAGATCGGCGCGGTTGATGTCAAAAAGCTGAGGACTTTTCGATTTTCAGCATTCCCGAACAACCCTCCGCGGACAACGTGAGGACTTTTCAACTTTTTAGCATGCGCGCGCGGCCCTGTGCGGAGATCGACGTGGTCGGTGTCAAAAACCAGCACTTTTTTCAATTTTTAAACACGTACACGCGACCCTCTGCACATCAGCGTGGTCGATGTTAAATATGAGGACTCTTTACAATTTCTGCCTCTGCGGGGATTGGCGTGGTCGATGTGCAAAAACTGAGGACGACTTCTACTTCTTGCGTTGCTCGCGCAACCCTCCGCAAGGACTCGCGTGGTTGGAGCGCAGGCTTGAAAGCTTGCTGTTGGAAGCGAGCGGTCCCGGGCTCGAGTCCTGCCTGGCCCCTGCAGCTTCTATCAAAGTGCACTTTTGCAACTCCGGCTGAAAATCGCAGCTTTTAAGTACGAAAGCGGTGCGCGAAATATACTTTCTCCGCTCCGGCTGGACAGTCGCAACTTTCAAGTGCGAAAGTAGTACGCGAAATACAATTTCGCAGCTGTGGCAGGA